CTTCTTACCACCTCGTGACGTCCTTACTGCGCGGTGGCCGATGTGGTAGATGAGAAAACTCAGATGCTAAATGGTCCGTCCTGTCATGTGGCTCTGGGGGCTGGGGGGGAGACTGCGTGGCCAGGATTCACACCTGGGTCTTTCCCACTCCAGAGTCACCTGCAAACCGCCCTGTGATGTGCCCCGTGCCAGGATTCGTGTGGGCCCGAATCTGCAAGCTTAGTGGCATCTAAGAGGCCAGGCCATGTGTCCGATGTTCGACCCGGACAGCTTCTGGGAGGGCGGCAAGGGGGCATCCACAGGCGGCTGGGGCGTCCCCACCGGTCACACCATTCAGCGGTTCCCCCAAGTTGAAGCAGCCATTCTGATGGGACAGATCATGACAGGACAGTCACCGTCCTCAAGCAGGGGCCACGGAGGGTGGGCTGTGGGCAGACAGATGCAGCTGCCATCAGGAAGCTTCTGGGGGCCAAGCTCAAGTGGAGTCAGCAATGGGGAACACAAGAGCAGGGGAGCCAGGGAGGGGGGAAACCAGAGTTCTTGGACACCATTCAACCAAGAGTCATAATCCTCCCCAGGCAGGCTTGGAGTCACACACAGGGACGGTCCATGCCTACGTTTTTTTTTTTTTTAGATTTTATTTATTTATTTGAGAGAGAGAGAATGAGAGATAGAGAGCACGAGAGGGAAGAGGGTCAGAGGGAGAAGCAGACTCCCTGCTGAGCAGGGAGCCCGATGTGGGACTCGATCCCAGGACTCCAGGATCATGACCTGAGCCGAAGGCAGTCGCTTAACCAACTGAGCCACCCAGGCACCCCCCATGCCTACGTTTTAAATGATCAAATCAGTGAAGAAAATCTGGAAGAAATGGGGAAGAAAACTAAACCCTCCCTGCTCAGGAATGTGCACCACATTCGCCCCAGAGCCCATGATCTAGGGAAACTAAGTCTGGGGAGATGTTCCTGATGCGGTGGGTGTGGCACAGGACCAGCTGCAGCCCACTGCCGTGTCCCCTTGGGGCCCCACACCTGGGCCTGTTGCCTGCTGGCCTCTGGGCACCCCAAGAGCAGCAGGGGCACTGGCCCTCTCCAGCCATGTCATTTCAGAAAGTCACATTTTCCTGAGCTTCACCTTCTTCTATGAGAGGAGCATAATAAAGTCTGCCCGAGCAGGTCTGAGCATCTCAGTTACGCCATCTTATAGCTGGATCTCTCTGGGGAGCAAGCCGGCTGTAGTGGGTGGATTTTTCTCCCGCCCCTCTGTTCTCATCTTCATCCACAGTTTTTCTCTCGGAGATCTCCGGGGGCAGATGACTCAGAGCCACATCTTCAGGGCCCACAGGGCTAGAGTCCCCACGTGGGAACCCCCACATCCCATAGCCCTTGGTGGTCACCTTCCTGAGTCGGGTCCCCAGCCTGCCTGCCCATGAGACTTTCTGTGTGTGTCTTCATGAGCTAGTAGTTGGTGCCCGGGAATGCTCAATCAGGTCATGCAATTGCTCACCAGGGAATTGCATTGTTCTTTCTGGTTCTCGAAGTCCTATTGCTTAGCACTGAGGCCCTTACTGCTCACAAGGCTGCCCAAAGCATTGGGATCAATGGGATCACCCACAGGTCTGAGCTGTCCGGCACATGCTGATGTGACACAGGTCACAGGATGGGGGCTGCAGTCGTGGTCCTGGAGCAAGATCCTTGGTTCTAGAATTGTAGCAGAGCCCCCGCTTCCCAGACCTGGACCCACCTTGACACATAGGTTGACCTCGGACCCATAAAGATCACAAGTAGACAGGTGGATCCAGAGTTGGATCCAGGGATTGAGAAGGAATGGACATTTCCTCTCCATGACATCATAGAATACACTCCATGCCTCAGTTCCTTAACCAGGGACACTTCCTTCTTGACTGTATCATCTGCTGGGGACCGACAAAGAGAGGACCAGATCTGAGGGTTCACCACAGTGAGGGTGAACCCAGCTGTGCCCACACTAGCCACATGAGTCTGGGCAAGTTGCTGGATGTCCCTGAGGCTGCCCCTCTGCTGTCAAATGGGGAAAGCAGATTTTACGGGACAGTCTGGTGCTGGAGAAGGAGTCAGGGATGTTTGTGAACTCTGCTTCGTTGAATCCTGCTAGCTTTTGGGAAGCCCCAGGTGCCTTGGTCTGTTGAGCATGGCTGTTCCTGCTTTGCAGAAGGGAAGAGAAGAATCACAGGGCAAGAGCATCAGAGGAGGAAGGAGGTAGTCCCCAGCAGCTGGCCTGTGGGGACAAGGATGCCACGTGGGCCCCAAGGAACCTTATCCCACTGTTAAAACAAGTGCTTAAAACAAGGTTGGGCTCCTGGTCATGGCCTCTGCTAAGGGTGGAGTTGATGTGGGACCCACCCCAGGAGAGTTGGGTATCATGCCCTACTGTCTGCCCTTCCCAGAGTCCCTGGTCCATGAAGCCTCCTGTTTATCTAACTCTGCTCAGGATGAGAAAGAGGTTAAAAGGTGCTAAGGACTGAAGCTTTGTGTTCCCTCAAATTCAAATGTTGAAGCCCTAATCCCCAATGTCATGGTATTGGGAGGGGGGGCCTTTGGCGGATAGTTCGGGTGTTGGGCAGTTGGGTAGTCAGGTCATGGGTGTGGAGCCCCCGTAATAGGATTAGTGACCTTGTAAGAGAGGTGATCTCTCTCTCTGACGTGTGAGGACACATCGAGAAGCCGCCCCTCATCATGTGATCTGTCAGCACCTCGATCTTGGACTTGCAGCCTCTAGAACTTTGAGAAGTCAGTATTGTTTAATGCCCAGTCTATGGTATTCTGTTATAGCAGCCTGAGCCAAGACAAAAGGTAAGAAACCTGCACCCAGTGTGGAACCCAACACAGGCTCAATCTCACAACCCTCAGATCATGACCGGAGCCAAAATCAAGAGTCCGACACTCAACTGACTGAGCCACCCCGTTGCCCCAAGGAGCTAAACTTTTTTTTTTTTAAAGATTTTATTGATTTATTTGAGAGAGAGAATGAGAGAGAGAGAGCACATGAGAGGGGGGAGGGTCAGAGGGGGAAGCAGACCCCCCACAGAGCAGGGAGCCCGATGCGGGACTCGATCCTGGGACTCCAGGATCATGACTTGAGCTGAAGGCAGTCGCTTAACCAACTGAGCCACCCAGGCGCCCCAAGGAGCTAAACTTTTAAGAAGCTGGAATGCTTGGAAGCCGGTAAGAGATACCATGAAGTAGGTACCACAGGCTTAAACACCAGAGGGTTGCAGGAAGTGGGGAAAAACCGAATCTGGAGGTGGGGCAGCTCTGATGTGTCTTTGTGGCTGGAGGCCCACGGAGAGCCATGCTGGAAGACGTGGGTGGGTGGACACCCACCTGTGGGAAGCCTGGAAAGATCTATATGGGCTCCCTTTGGGGTACAGTGTGTGATACAGAGGCAGAGAGAAAAGTGAAAAACCCTGATGGAATAGAGCAAAGTTGGGGCTCTAATCCAGCTTCTGGTGACACTCGTTTTGTCCTTGAGCATTTACTCAACACCTCGTCGGGACCAGACAAGAGGAGACCATGGAATCTATCATCTAAATGGAGACATTAGGATGCGAGGGGGATGCTACCAGTGTTGATGCTGGGCTAACAGCTTTAAATCGGGTGTTCTCCTGGGGCATGCAGGCAATGTGCTCTGGAGCCGGGAAGCCTTTTCAGACCTGCTGCCCGCTCTACTTGCTGTGGTCACAAAGGCAGGGGTGAGGCAGAGGTGAGGAGCACCATGGGGGAAGGGCAGAGGTAACTGGCAGAAAAGCTTGCAGGGTATCAGGGAGGAGGGCTTGACCATAGCAGACACATGTCAGGAGCAGGGTCTTGAGGGCAGGGTTGGGTTGCCTGCTGACAGGTGGCAGGTGAGGGGTGCATTTCTTGCAGGGGGATCACAGGAGGAATGAGCATGTGCCATGTGCTCTCATCCTGCAACCTGGTGCTGGTTCCATAGTGATGCGGGAAACAGGTGTAGGGAGGGGACGTAGGCCACGGGGAGCCTTCTAGGCTGAGGAGTTTAGATTTAGTGCTGGAGGAATAGGGGAGCCTAGAATGAGAGGCATGTAATCGAGTTGCTCCATTAGCTGCTCCCTCTTCTTGGACCTGTTTCCTCATCTGGAAAATGGCATCTCGCCAGCACTCAGGTTTAGTGAGAACAACCAAGAACAGTTGTGAAAACACTGTGGAAAGACTATAGCGTGATCCAGAAGGCTGTCTTGGTCCCTGTTCCACAGCTCAAAACCCAAGGCTTGAGCGCAGCTGGAAATGCAGGACATAACACAATTTCAACAAAGAGTCAATTTAGTATAAAATTGATCCCTTCCCTCAGGAGAAAAGGGAACCAGCGATGGGGTGCCCTCGACTGGACAACCTTTCTCATCCTTGAGGCCCACTTCTGGGCCCAATGCCTCTGCTCCTCTCTTGCTCTGGCTGGGGAGCAAGGTGGCTCTGGGAAATGCAGCACTGAGTTGTGTGCAAAGACCAGGGGGTCAGAGGCTGGAAAACCCCATATTTTTGCATGACCACCCATGTTTCACACTGTCCCCCTGGTTCCTCCAACACGCTGGGCAAATTCTGCCACAGGGCCTTTGCACTTGCTCTTTCCCTAGCCAGTTATGCATCCACCCATGGTCTGCTCTCTCATTTCCTTCAGGGTTTTACTCAAACATCACTGTATCACTGAGGACTCTCTTCATCACCCTATTTCACTCTACATCCCTTTTCTTGATTTTCTCCTACACACTATCAGCTTCTAAATATACTCAATATTTTGCTTACCTATGTTGCTCATGGTCTGTCTCCTCCCCTGTAAAGTAAACTCCACGAGGACAGGCATTCTTGTCTGTTTTGCTTTCTGCTGCCCAGAGGAGTGTAGCAGGCAGTCATGAATATTTATTCATCGAATGACCGAATCTCTCCTTTCTACTCTGGAATAAGGGCATCCAAACAGACTGTGGCATAAAGTCATGAAATTCACACAATGGCTACAGTTTCATTTTCTTTTATTTGTGGCACTAAAAGACACATAGAGACATGTGGTTTAAGAGAGATAGGCTGATGCTCTTGCCACTCTGGGAAGGTGAGCATCTAGCATCAGACAATGCAGAGTAAAGTTTCCATTCTATGTGACGCCTCGATCTGAAACAGTTGTGAAATGTTAAAATGATCTCACTATATTTGTTGTTCCATTAAGATAGAGATTTTATTTCATGAACTCCTCTTGATTTCTATTCATCTCTTAAAGATCTCTTTTCAATGTAACAAAAGGCTTTACAGAGAGAAGTGAAAAACCAGCACTGTGTCTAAACATTATAAATACTAGTGGCAGAATACCGGGTGCTAAGAAAAGCCTTCCATATGATACAGGGGTGCCACTGATCCATAGGGTAAACACGCCCAGACTGAACCCAAACCATGAAATACCAGCACAGTTTTGATCTGATCATGGCGACACACAAGACATCCACCCAGTGTCCCTGCTCTTGGCCCCGTGCAGGATTTCAGAAGGTTCTCAGGGCAGTCACCGGGCTCCATACACAGCCCTCCCGGGACGGAGCGAGAAGGGCTCATTCTACTTCCCAGCCCACTGGGGATGCCTGCAAAGTGGGGCACTGACCGTCCACACCAGTGACTTTCTGATCTCTGTCACTGTCACCCTCGGAGAATCAGAAATGCCTGTCCAGACATCAGGTGTGATCATATTGTGGGTGATAACCGTTGATTTTCTAAAAGCTTAGTTGGTCAGATCATGGTCTGTGACCCTCTGCGAGGTTGTAACCCCACATTTTTGTGGGATAAAAATCCAATGGTTTCATTATGCAACAGTCATCTTCTGCTCCTTTCTTACTGCCAAAACATCACAGAGTGTATTACATTCAGATTGTTTCAATTGGTTTATACATATTTCCTTAGAATTCAAAAGATTTCGAACAGCTAAATGGTCTTAACCATCTCTATGTGGTAAAATCTCAAAGGTCCAGAATCAGTCTAAGGTCACCATAATTCAGTGTAGTGTTGGACTCCAGCATTCATATCCCCATTAACCTGCCAACAAGAATAGTTTATTGGCAACTTTAAATATTCAGAGGCAAACATGTTTCCTTGGCACACAACAAGCTGCACGGCTGAGCAGCATCTCGCCCTCCCTTGGAAACATTTTGCAGGACTGAAAATCAATTGTGTGAGTTTGGCCTGTAGACAAGAAAGTGCACCAAATCCCGATGCCCCCTGCCACGCGGCGTCCTCCAGTGGTGACTGTGGATGGCTCACAGGTGGGTTTCTGCCACAATCTGATCTTCTCAGTGATTTACACGAGCAAGGGCACCTGCAGTAGAGAGAGAACCACAGTTACTCGGGGGACCTGGATGAGCCAATGGGGTTGGCCCAGGGCGCACAGATCTGGGTGCTAAGGAGCTCAGTGCAAGAACATCCTTGCCATTACTCTTCCCGCACGGGTTTCTACATCGATACCTATTCTACTCACTGCCCCAAGGAGAACATTTCTGGAACACAAACATGCTTAAACACTTCCAGTGACTTGCTCCTGCCAGTTCTTTTTCAGGAAAGAAAGTATGAACCCACTGGAGGGCTATGGTACATCTGCCAGAGCCGTCAGCTGCCCCCAGGCCCCAGGGCTCCCTGAGCCCCTCCTAGCTTCTGGGATCTGCTGGGGTCTTTCCCTCCTCTGGACACGTTTTGCATGTGGGGTTTCTCTGTTGGGGATGCGCCTTTCCAGCTGGAAAGCTTTGAGTCCTTCGGGAACAGGTGTTCATACTATCTCCAGAGAGAGGCTCTTCTGACCCCAGTCCTTGTCAGGGCTGATGCAATCACCCCTCGTTCTGTCAGCTACCCCAGTCTGCTCCTGTGTCCCAGACTCCCTGCTCCCTCACTTTTGCAGAGAGGCTCCTTGAGGATGAACCGTGGGACTCTCACTCCCTCCTCTGGGCACAGAACTTACTGAGTACTCAGTATTTATGGCATGAATGAGTGAATGCACAAGCTCAAACTTTCACTCTTAGCTTCACCCTGCATCCTCCTGTCCAACTGTAGAAAGCCTGATTTGTACAATTTCGAAGGAGATATTTCAACGGCTTTAAAGGCTAAGATTAGGGGCACCTGGGTGGTTCAGTCGGTTGAGCGTCTGACGCTTGATTTTGGCTCACGTTATGATCTCAGGGTTGTGAGATTGAGCCCCGTGTCAGGTTCTGCGCTCAGCGTGGAGTCTGCTTAAGATTCTCCCTTTCCCTCTACCCCTCCCCCGACTCGAGGGCATGCTCTCTCTCAAATAAATAAATCTTTAAAAAAAAATAAAGGCTAAGGTTCAACAGTTTCCAGTTTGAGGGAACTACAAATAAAACTGCTATGAATATTGCATGCGAATACAAGTCTTTGTATTTATGTATGTTTCATTTCTCTTGGGTAAATACCTAGGAGCAGGATGGCTGGACCACATGGTAGGTGCAGCTGTAACTCTTGAAGAAAGTGCCAAACTACATTTCAAAGTAGTTGCACCATTTTACATTCCCACTAATAGGTCTTGAGAGTTCCAGTTGCTCTACATCTTGTCGATATCCTGTACTGTCATTTTCTACTAAAATGGTAGCCACATTAGTAGGTATGTAGTGGGAATCTTGTGGTTTTAACTTGTGTTTCAATAATGATCAATATGTGGAGCTTCTTTTCATATGCTTATTTGCATCTGTATATCTTAAGTGTTTATTCAAATATCTTGCCCATTTATTGACTTGTTTGCTTTCTTACATTTTCTTTATGAATTCTAAATATATGTCCTTTATCAAATAAATGCCTTGCCAATATGTAGTCATAGTATGAGGCTTGTATTTTCATTCTCTTAATGGTATGCTCTTGTGAAGGGCAGAAGGTTTTAACTTTGATGAAATCCAATTTATGTTTGCCCTTTTTATGGATTGTGCTTTTGGTTTCAAATCCAAGACATTTTTGCCTAAGCCAAGGTCACAAAGATTTTCTCCTATGTTTTCATCTAGAAATGTTATAGTTTTCAGTTTCAGATTTAGATATATAATTAATTTTGAGTTACATTACCTTATGCGATGTATGGATCAAAGTTAATTATCATGCATAGGAATATCCAATGGTTGCAATGCCATTTTTGAAAAAAAACAAAAACAAAAACAAAAACAAAAACAAACTGTCCTTTCTCCACTGAATTGCCTCTATACCTTTGTCAAAAATCAGTTCTCTAAATACCTGGGTCTATTTGTGGGCTCTCTATTCTCTTCCATTGACCTATTTGATGTCAGTTACCAGACTGTCTGAATTACTGTGGCATTATTATAAGTATTGAAATGAAGAAGTAGTAGTCCACCGACTTGAATCTTTTTCTAGGTCTTTGCATTATTATCGCAATTTTAGACACAGCCTGTCAATTTCTACAAAAAGCCTACTGGGATATTGACTGGGGTTACACTGAATTTACAGTTCAATCTGGGGAGCATAGCCATACTGAGTTTTCAAAATAGGAGCTATCCACCTATTTATTTAGGTTTCTTGAAATTCTCTCAGCAATGCTTTGTGGTGTGTACATCTTTGGTCAAATTCATCCCTAAGTATTAATATTTGTGATGTTCTTGAAAATTATTATTTTAAAAAATCCAATTTCTGATTGTTCACTACTAATACTTAGAAATACAGCTGTATTTGTAATGCTGCTGTATCCTATAACATTGTCAGACTTACTTAAAAAACTTAGAATCTATCTATAGTTCCCATTGGGTTTTCTAACCTAGACCATCACATGGTTTGTAAAAAGAGCTTTATTCTTTTCTTCGCAATAGGGATGCATTCCTTCCCCTCTTCCCCTTCCTTCCTACCTTCCTTCCTTCCCTCCCTCCCTTGCCTACTTACAATGGTTAGCACCTCCAGTACAATGCTGAATAGAATGCAGACATTCTTGCTTTGTTTCTGATTCTAGGGGAAAGTATTTGCTCTTCCATCATTATCTAAGATGTTGGCTGTGGGTTTTCCATTGATGCCTTTTATCAGTTTTTTCTTTTCCTACTTTACAGAAGTTTTTATCAGAAATGGATATTGAATTGCCAAATTCTTTTAATGTATCTATTGAGATTATCAGGGTTTTCCTCTTTTTTAGTTTGTTAATATGAGGACTTTTTTCTCAAATATCAAACCAACCTTGCATTGTTGAGCTAAACCCCACTTGAACATGATGTTACTCTTTTTACATATAGTTGGATTTGATTTGCTAAATTTCAATTTAGGTGTTTTGTTTTTTTGGTTTGTTTTGCATCTATATTCGTGAGGACTATTGCTTTATAATTTTCTTTCCTTCTGGTATCTTCATCTGGTTTTGGTATCAAGGTAATATTATCTTTGTAGAATGAGTTGGGGAGTCATCGCTCCTCCTCAGGAAATTCTGAACAAAATTTCTAGAAAATTTGGATGTGCTGCTTGGTGAATGTTGTGTTTGATAGAACTCACCAGTGAAGTCACCGGGAATGGGTGGCAGTGCTTTGTTTTTTTGGGTGTGTATGGGTGGGGGAAGATTTCTCACTTGTAATTAAATTTCTTTAATAGATACAGGGCTACTTGGGTTATCTATTTCCTTTTGAGTGAGCTTTGATAGTTTGGGTCTTTCAAAGATTTCATCTATTGCATAAAGTTGTTCATAATGTTGCCTTATTATCCTTTTACTATCTGTAGAATCTGTAGTGATATTACATCCCTCTTTCTGGATCCTGATAAATTGTCTTCTTTCTTTTTCCTGATAAGTCTGGCTAGAGGTTGATCACCTTTATTGGTCTTATGAAAGAGTAAGCATTGGTTTAATTGATTTTGCTTTATTCTTTTTTCTTTTTTATTTCACTGATTTCTGCTCTGACCTTTATGATTTATTTTCTTCTGCTCACTCCAGGTTTAATTTTTACTCTTCTTTTTCTAGTTTCTTAAAGTGGAAGTGAGGACATTCATCTGTGGTCTTTCTTCTTTTTTTTTTTTTTAAGATTTTATTTATTTATTTGACAGAGAGAGATATAGCAAAAGGGGGAACACAAGCAGGGGGAGTGGGAGAGGGAGAAGCAAGCTTCCCGCTGAGCAGGGAGCCCGATGTGGGGCTCGATCCCAGGACCCCGGGATCATGACCTGAGCTGAAGGCAGATGCTCAACGACTGAGCCACCCAGGCGCCCTATGTAGTCTTTCTTCTTTATGGAGATGTGGTGCTATATGGTTCTCTCCCAAGTACTGATTTTATAGCAGCAAACACTTTATATTGTGTTTAAATTTACATTTGGTCCAAAATAGTTTGCAATTCCCCTTTTGAGTTTTTTTTCTTTGACCCATGGGTGATTAAGAGTTGTATTATTTAGTTTTCAAGTATTTGGGATTTTCCAGAGATCATTTTGTTATTGATTTCTAATTTAATCCTGTTGTGGTCACAGAACATACACTGTAATATTTGGATTCTTTAAATATAATTATATTAACTGTTTCCATATCCTCATCTGCCAACTTTAACATCTGTGTCTATTTTAGAGAGGTTTTCATCGATTCATTTTCAGCATATAGTGTTTCATATCCTTCTGCCTCTTTGTGGCAATGGTAATATTTGATTGGATGCTGGATACTGTCAATTTTGCCTCATTGGGTGCTGGATATTTTTGCATTCCTACAAATATTCTTGAGCTTTATTCTGGGAGGCAGTTATGTGGAAACACTTTGATGGTTTCGGGCATTGATGTGAAGATGTGCTGTGCAGTGTGAGAGCCACACAGAGTCTCCCAGTCTGGCTGTGTGAGCTCCAGGTGCTGTTCCTTCTTACACTACCACGTGGCTCTGTCCCGGCCTCACATGCATGTGCCCACCAGCACTGCACTGACTATTCCAGAGGAGGACCCTCTGCAGGCCTCCGGAATTCTCTCTCCATGTTGTAATCTGCTGTTCAGGACTCTGTGCTGCACACCTTAGCCTCTTCAGTGACCCCAGACTCTCAGCTCTGCTCCCCAACTCAGGGAGTCTGCTGGCCACTGCTGATTTCCTCTGCTTGTATGATGGCCGGGAAGCTTCCTATCTTTCAGGGGTCCTGTTCCTTGTTGCCTGCTGTCCAGTGACTTCAAAAAAAACATTGTTTCTTACATTTTGTCTGAGGTTTTGGTTATCTCAGGTGGGATGGCAATTCCAGTCCCTGAAACTTCATCTTGGCCATTAGCAGGCATTCCCAGAAATTCAAACAGGTGAGAGGTGAACATATTTGAAAAGCTTTGTTTTACTCCTTTTCCTATTGCTCTGCCAGAGGTATAGACTGGTCCATGTCCTCTGCTCTGGGCTAGCCC